CTATTTGTGGAGTTTTATTCCAAAACAGGATTATTCTCAAGAGAGATGCTGAAAACCTGCCAAAGATATGAAAACACTCTCCGTTATAATCAGATTTTTAAAAAAAGTAAATGCTTTTTACAAAAACCAGCATGTACAACCGCACACGGTGGAGTTATCCATGTTTGATCCGTGGCATAAAAATGCAAAGACTTTGAGACTCTGCAGGTACAAACAGAGCTGATTTGGTCCGAGTTGGACTTAAAGTTTTCTCTGAGGATAGACTTTACGAGTTTCTGTGTGCCAAGTGATCTCTGACCCTGTGTGGGATTCTGGAGAAGCCTGACACTCTTTAAACAAGCAAAAAAACAACATGCTTTCTGTTTTTTTTAGCTTGAGCGTTGCTTATCACGACGCCGAGTTGATTATGTTTGAAAATCCTGCCGCAGAAAACGGCCCATTGCTGTTGTTCTCACTGAACCAACAGACTTTCATGAGCTGGTTGTGTGACCGCAGCACCGCAACACATTTAGGAGCATTTGTAAGCTGGATTCTCAGACATGGGATGCTTTTGGAGGACAATATATGATTTAGCCGCTCAGTGCACAAAAACTAAGTGACATTAAATATGAACAGAGAACCCGAAATCCGGTTTTCTGAGGATTATTCCGACCAAAGTTATAGCTGAGACTGTATGCAGGATCCATACTGCAAGCTGATGTGCTTACAAAAGACAAAAGGAACATAATATGGCAAAAAAAAGCATGGTTTATAAAACATGTGCATGTGTATCTCCATCCATCCATCCATCCATCCATCCATCCATTGTCTTCCGTTTATCCGGGGTCGGGTCAGAGGGGCAGTAGGTGGAGCAGGTCGTCCCAGACTTCCTTCCCCCCGGCGACGCTTTCCAGCTCCTCCTGGGGGATCCCGAGGCGTTCCCAGGCCAGCCGAGAGATTCAATCCCTCCAGTAGGTTCTGGATCTGCCCCGGGGTCTCCTCCCAGGTGTTCGGAAGACCTCCAGAGGAAGCCTCCCTGGAGACATCAGAATCAGATGTCCACACCACCTCAACTGGCTCCTTTTGATGCGAAGAAGCAGCGGCTCTACTCTGAGCTCCTCACCCAGGCTGAGCCCAGCCACCCTGCAGAGGAAGCTCATTTCGGCCGCTTGTATCCGCAACTATTCATTATTCACTACAGACTTAAAAGAAAAATGGTTAAATTCTGTCCACTCACACCCACAGCTAATCATAAATGGTCAGCAGAAATCGCTCCAGAATATTTATGTGCAGATTTTTCTTGTGGAAAATGGAAAAACTTGACGGCCGCAGCAGCAAAACAGAAGACAGTTTTCAAAACTAAGCGGTCAGACTGCGAGTGGAGGAACAAGCGCGATAATTGTTTGGCATTTACAACATTCATACACACAGCTGACGAACTCACACGACGAGTATCTGTGAAGGAACTTTATATTTAAATTATCCGCTCAAGCTGTCGTATGTTTACTGAAACGATTTTGTAGCAAAAACTGAAATTACACAGATACAGTCGTGACTCGATAATCCGACCCTTAACAATCCAACAACCTTGTTATCCGACAGGTTTGTAGGAAAAACGAACGGAGCCCATAAAAACAG